GATGTAAAAATTTTGGCACACATTTATTAAACATAGTAATATGATAGAGGAAGATAATGGAGTATAGTCACAAAATAATAGTTTAACCTCTATTTCTTAAAAATGTCCAGTCAACAATTTGGAAATGTTTGTTTATAAAGAGCAATCAGTATTATTTCTTATGTAGTTGATACTCAGAAACACTGTTTCAAACGACTAGTCTACTCATTAAACAGATTAAATTAAATGGATAATAATCTGAGAAGAATAACATAGTTTGCTCTTACTTCTTTTTAGACACTACATTGAATACCTTCTGTTCATGAATTTTTTCGCACATTAGTTTATTTGTTTCCATTTTCAAAAGACCAAGAAACAGTTGTGGGACAATGTAACACAGAGGCTAAGCACAGGCTACAAATCTCGGCTCTTCTGTTCAGTGGGTGTGTTACCCTGGGCTTATTACTTAACCTTTCTGTGCATCACTCTTTATCTGTGAAATGGCTGCCTATCTTATGGGGTGAGTGTTAGGATTAATAAATTAACATATGTGACTTGCTTAGAAGCATGATTGGAAAATAGTAGAGCTCAACACACATCAAGATAGTTATTCGGTAACTTGCCCAGCATGGCAAAAAGAAGCATAGTTGTGAGTTGATGGATTTGTCTGAATCTAGAATTTAGGGTTTTAACCAAAATTACTTTTTATTTTATACTATATATTTTATCTGCATGGGTAAAGCAGTGGTAAAATTAAGAAATAATGTGTTAAAATTATATTTCTTTATATGAAATTTAACAATATCTTGCAACTGATAATAGTTTATAATATCATTTCATCTATGATTGCATCTTATTTGCCAGAGGGCAAGCTGCTGGACAGACTACAGGATGGAGTTACAATTACTCTTATATATTATTATTAATTGCAATATAACGCATTACTCTGAATCAAGTAAATATTCAATGGATTGTTCTGTCTCGACCTAAAACACACCTTGTTCAGGAAATGATTTAAGAAATGTCTCGTTAACTGGTGCCCTTCTCTTCTATTACGATATGACTTCGTTTTTGAAATTGTTTTTTTGTATGTCTAATGTTCATGATATTTATCTGCATTTATTGATTTTTGATATCTTAAATGGTAGTTTCCAGGCTCACCTTCATGGTATGATTTGGAGTAGGGGAGGAACTCAATGCTCACAATCAACTAATCCAAGAGTGTTTTATCAATATCTCCCAAATGCTCAACATTAGCACTGGGTTGATTGTAGAAACTGAATTGAAAGACATTTAAGAATTCCTCTATACTTTCCTTAAATGTAATCACTCTTCTGTTTAACATTTCTAGTGGGGAAATCAGTCTCTTAAAAAAAACCCAGTTGATTTTAATATTGCTTACAAAGATGGTACCACCATTTATTGGTCATTACACTAAACTCTTCCTTTGCATTTTGCCACTTAAAGACTTCGTTATTGTTTTTGCTGCTGTTGTCAACAATTTACAGAAAAGGAAAGAGAGGCTTACAGAGATGATGTTACCGGTCCAAAGTCACACAGCTAACACTACATTGAACATCCAGAAGGAAACTCAGGCATCTGATTCCAACCCCCGCTCTACAGTCATAGCTCTGACCCACTATCTTGAATAGTCTTCTTTACCCTGAGCTGAAATCTAAAGGAGTTATTTATTTGCTCTCTACCTGCATTCAATCCAGAATCTTTTTTTGCAGGATTCTGAGAGTCCAGTCTCCATTTCCTACCTAAAAGGAAGGAGTCTTTTGTGGCCCCATATATTTTCTCATTATTTTGGCTAGCATTAGTTTCTTATTCACATATTTTGATATATAATAAATTAATATAGCTTCAGCATGAAATCACATACTCTTCCTCCAAAGTTCTTGACATTTAGAAAGGAAAGAGGCAAAAAGCAATGATTTGCCTATTCCTTAGAAAACTGATGCTATCCAAAATTAATACACCCTTTCAAGATAGCTGTTTGATAATTTGCTAAAACAATATCAAGTTTTATTTAGTAGCTGTAGTTAAGAAACATAATGCCACATTCACAAATATATGTATTTTACCTTTCAGTAATTGTGGCTAGCCTTCATGTGAGTTTCAGGCTAAGGAGGATGAGATATGTTAAATAGATCCATATGAATCCTTTATTATGGAGAAAACTTCTTTTTAAATCTGCTGAAACTTTTAAATAGAAGCTTCCTGTCAGCAAAAATTACATCCATAAAACTTCCAAGGAAGTCACCTTTTGAGGAAAGAGCACATTTTTTTTTGTCTTCAGCTGTGGTTCTGTTAAACTCCTCCTGCTGAAATAAATTGACCTGGTTACCATGTTTTTATTGCAAAAAGGAAGTGTTTCTCAATCCTGGCTGCACATTAGAATTTCGTGGGGTAGATTTAAAAAATAAACTATCCTTGCCTGGACTCCGTGAGCATATTCAGTTCATCAGGGGTGCAATGTGAACATCAGCCCCTGTGAGTGGTTCTAACGTGTAGAGTTGAGAATCGTGACTCATCTCAGGGGAAGAAATCAGTGGCATAGGAAAGGCCATTTTCTCCTCAGCAACACTAAGTGCCATGGGAATTTGTTCCCCTTTCATTACTTTAGAGACCTTAAAACTACCTTTAAAAATTCTCTGGCATGGAATTTTCTTCCAATATCTTACAAAGACAGTTGAGAATATCACGTAACTTTAAGATTAAGAAGTTGAAAGAAGTGTAGCATGGGTAGACAAGTGCTGGTCAGAAGACCAGGCGGTCTGGATGCTGGGGAAGCTTCCCCTTTCATTGGTTGACATTGGGGACAGTATACAGCCTGTCTGGTCTTCAAATTCCTCTCCAGTACCGTCCGCTAGTCTCATGCCTTCTGTCATTTTTAAAGACCTTGAAATCCTCAGTGATTTGTCTGGGACCACTCAATGTCCCACAGTTTTGAATCACCTGATAAAATTTTATTTTATTTAAAGTTCCTAAGGGGATTATTTTTAGAGTAACGAATGCTATCGTTTCCTTGAAAACTTAACGACTTTTCCTGCCGGCCAAAATTTTCCATGCCTCTGGAAAAGTAAATCTATTCTTACTTTCATACAAACTCTCCCCTACATTCAGGGAAATCATTCCCCATCAAAGCCCCTAAAAACACATCAATCAGGCCAAGGAGCTCTCCAGTCTGGCCCTATCCTATAGACATAAGCCTCAAACCTGTCCTCCACGCTCTCAGGACAAATTGCAACTTTTCTATCATTCTTGGCCACCATGAATTTGATTCATACCTCAGCTAACTATAGCATAGAGCACTTTTTTCCCACATGAAACTGTCAATACTTCCAATTATCTTCTCAAAAATATAATCTCCTCAAGATTTTCTACAGGTTTAGTCATCACTGAATGCTTAAGAAGTCATGAGTCAAGAGGGCGAGTAGCTTGACTTTTTGTCAATTTTTTCCATAGGTGTTGACGTACCGTGTATAAAAATAGCAGTAGGTCATTCCTTATTACTTATATGACACTTCTTAAATTTCTTTCCCAAAGAAAAACAGGAGCACACATTTCTCATGAGGAGTCCACAACTTGAAATGTACTTGGCAGTAAGCAAATGAGAAAACAGTAGATGATGTCATATATGCATTGCACTGATCACAAATAGTAGTGACATAATTTATAACAACCTTTTACATATTGAAAATTGCCAAAACTCCTGCTGTGCTATTCCTTTTGGAAAGCCGGTTGGTATGTAGTGTTTAATTAAGTATTTTAAAACCATCCTTTTGTAGGCCTGTTCCACTTTAGCTAAAGTTATGACAGCTTGTCTCTGTTAGTTTAAAAAAAGAAGGCATGGTTTATTGCCTCGGTCTCTCTCTTGCAGATACAGAATATTAGCATTTTTAAGTGAAGTAAGATACCCTATTTTAGAGATGAGGAAAGGGGAAGTTTAAATGTGTTGTTAATTTCATGTGTTGTCAGTGTAAATAGACTGGACACGAAAAGGAATGATTCAGTAAAAACAACCATATTTTAGTATTATAACTATTTTAATAATGATAGTATATTATTATTGAAAGAAAGCCATGTTTTCTCTTTCTCTGCCACTGTTGTGGTATGATGGAGCAGTTACAACTTGAAAGAAACCACAAACAGTCATTTCAGCTCTATACCTTAAGTGAATGGCCTTTCCCAGCTATACAATTTTTCCGAAGATTTCCTTGGTCAGTATTACAAACTATTTTGTTATTTTCTTACACTTGTTTGTTAATCATTTTCCATGTCATGTTTTGTCATCAGGGAAAGAAAAATCACATCCAATTTTTCTTTCTTCTTCCCTCTCATGCTATACCATAAAACTTATAGGTAAATGAAGAGTTGGTTCAACTCTTGCTTGAAATATAGACATATGGTTCTCAACAAGAGAAATTTTGAATTTAAATTCCATTATCTTGTATAAAAATTCTTTTAATTCAGTCTTGGAAAAACAGACACATTTTATAGATGCGGCCTGTGATATTTTTCTTTGACTTGTGTTTGGCAAGAGTTCACTGATTTGCTAATAATTTTAAAAGAACTGCTTTAATGGTCTAATTATTACAACTTGATAATTAGCTCGAGTAGCATTTCAAAGTGTAATTGTTATGATTTGGCTGGGTTAATAAGGGTTCTAGAAAATAGAGTCACATAGACGCTGGTATTGTTCCTATCTTCGCATTCATAGTTTTTCTTTGGACCCCAGAGACAAACAGTAAATAGCTTTTGTTCTTCTGCCACAATCTACTATTCCCAAAACATCACTGATGGCAAAGCTATAATAACTTTCGTAAAAATTTCCTCTCAAGTTCCTAAGTTTTCAGTCATTAACAAAATAGAAAGAAAGAAAAATGTTAAAGGTACTGAGAATAGCCCAGTGCTTACAGCTGGTTTCAGCAATTTCAACTTGCGCAAGACCCCATGTTTGTGAAAGCAACCCAAGAATCTTTTGAACAGGATGTAATCAACCTCCGATCTGCTGAGAAACACTGCAAAAATGACTTCAGCTGCCAAAAATAATAATGTCGTTTACAAGCAGCTCTTCCTATGTCTAAGGAAGAACTAGCCACACATGTGAGATTATGCTGGCTTCAGAGGAGCAAGCAAGAAAAAGGGCAAACCCTACCTACCCCACCCTAAAAACACAGTATCAGAACCCACGAGAAGCTGTGGCCCCTTCCAAAGGTGCTGGCAATATCGAGGGAGATTCGTATCCACAAAAATCTGAACGGTAAGTGACCCTGGACAAAGGGATTATATTTGGCAGCAATTCTGTGCTGTCACTTTCCTTCTGTAACCAAGCTGCCCTGTCTTGTGAAGGCAGAGCTGTTAAATACCTCTTTGTCACCAGCCCCAACCCAAATCTTTCTTTTTTCCGAAATATTATCTGGCAGCTTCCCTTAAGGGACGTAAGAGCTCGGGAGGGAATATTCGTGAATGATCCTTTAGATAAGTTTCATCACAAAAGCCCTGCACCTACCTCTGTCAAGCCTGGGCTGTTCAGTCGGCATGGGCTGGATATGGAAAAAGACCCGGTATGATGGCTTCTTCAAATTTACCAGAAAGCAAGGACCTGGGATGCTTGTCCTTTAAGTGTCTCTAAACATGGTTTGCATAGCTGGATCTCTGCTTATCTGTGCCTTTCGGCTTTCGCTTCCATACATGGATCTGTTCCCAACAGTAACTCCAAGCTGTCGAAAAGAAGCTATCTGGCAGCTCTCCGCTTCATCCAACACATGGATGATAAAAATACACATATAGAGATCCTTCCAGCCAGGCCCATTCCCCACCCCACGATCCTGCCACTATGCCTTTTTGCAAACACACTTTCTGATTAGCATTTCTACTCTCCAGGCACTTAGAGAACAACCAGTTATTACCTGACTCCCACATAGAGCTTTTAGGATGTGAGTTTGCTCAGCTTTATGAAAGCAGAGATGCGATTATGGTTCCTTACTCAGGTCTTCATCCTTAAAGCGTTGAGTGATGAGGTATACATGGGACCTGAGAAATGTTCAGTGAATGAACGAATGGCTGAACAAATGGATAACATTGCACCCAATGACTAACTACATAATGTATTTATTGAATTGGGAATAGTTGTTAACACTCTGGATTGTTTGTCTTAAATGATAAGGTAGCAGCAGGTCAAAGTAATCAAATCTCTAAGAGAGAAGGAGGGGCCAGTTTCTCGTTTGAACAGTTTCTCATCTAGGATATTGTGGCAGTTTCTATTAAACTACCTTCTAGTATGTGGTTTGAGATTTAGAAATTTTTTTTAATGTTAAAGAATATAACCCTGAATAGAATACTAATTACTATATTTGTTACCTGTCAGTGATACTTTAATGACACATGACTGTGACCTAGATTTTAAGCGGTGGGGAGTGGGGGATGAACCCTGCTCTGTGCGTGAGAGGTGACAGGCACCCCTCGGAGGGCTGTGGGAACTCTGCTTAGCTAGCCACTTCCTTCAAAATTTAGCTTCTCAGTTTTTAAATTTATTTCTCTCCTTTTCTCCAATTTGTCGTTACTCTTGTGTAACAAGAGGTCAGATTATCATGAAAGAGAGAGAAGCAAAATTTCCAAATCATTTTTCCATTGGTTAATTTTTTTTCAAAGTCACATTAAAATTCTCATAGAGTCTCTTGTGTGAAGAAGAAAAATGACAGCTCAAGCATACAGGGATAATTCCTTTTGGTATACCTAAATGGAACTAATTTGCTTAAAACATTCCAGAGGAAAAAGGGAGGGAGAGATAAAACAGGGTTGGCAAAATGATAATTGTTGCAGGTGGTCGATAGGGGGCTCATGACAGTGTCCTCTGTACTTTGTATGTTTTTAGATTTCTATAAAAGAAAAGAGAGAGAGGAGTATAAAACAGATATATTAATGGCAAGTTTGAAGAATCCTAGATTTGAGTAATCTCTGTGCAACAGCCAAAACAAGAAGGGGCAAGATTGTATTTTTTTAATTCAAAATATTCTGATATTCCAACCTTCACCTCCCTACCTACAATCAGATATATATTCTATATAGTAATACATGTTATATATATATAATCTATATAATATATAATATATGCATAATAATACATTCTATGTAATAATAATTTATATCTAATGGAAGTTAAGCTATGATATTTAAAAAGCTGACCACATGTAGCTCAGTGATGTGCATGGTAGATAGTTACCTTACTCAGGACCCTTTCAATACCCTCTCTTCCCTTGCCTTTTTCTTCTTTAGGAATCCAAAAGCAAAACTCTTTTTTCTCACTGTCCCAAGCAGCTAGAGATCATGTAACACGTTTCTGGCCAAGCAGGTGTCAACAGGGTCCCCCGGTGAGACTTCAGGAAAGCATTTATGTATCCTTCAGAAAGAGCCAGGCTCGGCTTTTGCCCCTCTAGTCCCTGTACCCCACCTCCACCACCTCTTTCTTTCCTAGAGAACAAGCTTGAAGCCTGAAATTGCAGCAGCCATTTGGTGACCGGGAGGGGACAAAGGCCTGTGTGGTAAGGAAGGTGGAGGAGACAGACAGAAGAACTTCAGTTCCTGTCAGCGTCACTCAGTTGCTGTAGCCGTCTTGAACTGCCCACCTCTGGACTTGTCATGTGAGAAAAATAAAACCATAGTTATTACAAAATGTAGATTCTAGCTGATGAACTCAGGTCTCAAATTAAAGGACTGTGTTCTGATCCTGGCTCTGTAACTTGCTAGCTGTGTGACATTGGTCATGTCGCAGAGTTCTATTTCTCCTCAGTTAGTCAAGAGACCACTTGACCTTCTTATCCTAGAATTATCCTATGAATTAACATGTTTAATATATTTTCATAAATTGTAAGGGATATATCAGTGGAAGGTATTCTTTAGTTACTATATGGGGTAGTTGATACATGGGACCCACAGTTACATATCACAGAGCCTGGAAGTCTGCTTTCTGTTCAAAGAAGGGTTTGCAGAAACTTTGGCTTAACTGAAAATGTCTTGGGAATTCTGCTCTTAAGTTAGGAACATCCAACATAGGAAAAGCTTGTCTATTCCAAAATGTGTTTGCCCATTTTGGGTCAGCCAAACAAGTTGGCACGTTCTCGGTGAGGTTTATTGTGGAAGGCAGTTTCCCGTCTTACCTTGAATAATTATCACTCTCAGCTTGGGAGATCTTTCCCAACTCTGGAGGATGCTGTGGGGTGCAGGTATAGGAAAAGATCTCCTGACAAAGAGGTTAAGGGCTATCATGCTGCCAAAGAAAGAGGTCAAATTTCTTTTCGAAACTTGCAAATGCGGAAGTCGGGATTTAACGTATTGACATCAATTTGCCTGACTCCATGGAGAACGATATAGTTCAGTGCATCTGGGATACAGTACATCTGGGCACGCTATTTTACCATGGGGTACTTTGCACAGGCTGCTCCTTTTGTTAGAATGTTCTGTACCTCCCCAGAAAAGATGTACACACATGCATGCACTCCACCTTTGTCTGCCAGATGAACATATCCTCAGTGTTTTATGACTCACCTCAGTGTCTCTTCCTTTCTGAAATGTTTCCTGACCTCCCCACCAGCTATTCTAAAGCACATATGGCAACTTATTGTCATTTTTTCCTACCTCTCTGCCCTTGACTGTGAGCTCCTGGAGAACAGGGGCCTCATGTTATTTGCCTTTGTATCCCCAAAATCCATTACAGTGTCTTTTTTTTTTTTTTTTGAGGAAGATTAGCCCTGAGCTAACTGCTGCCAATCCTCCTCTTTTTGCTGAGGAAGACTGGCCTTGGCTAACATCTGTGCCCATCTTCCTCTCCTTTATATGTGGGACGCCTACCACTGCATGACTTGCCAAGCGATGCCATGTCCGCACCCGGGATCCGAAGCTGTGAACCCTGGGCCGCCGAAGCGGAACTTGCGAACTTAACTGCTGTGCCACCTGGCTGGTCCTCAGTGTCTGTCTTATAGTAAGCAAACCTTAACAAATTTGTGGAAGAATTACATGCATTGATAAATGAGTGAAAAACGGATAAATGGTAGTTCACTCTCAACTAGTGACCATTAGCCTGGCAGCCTTCCCTGCTGTGTAAGGCATGAGAATCTCAAATTCCCCACTGCCCATCTGGGTAGAGACTGTCAACTCAAAGGAGACAGAAAACAGAGCGTCCAAAAACACAGACATTATCCTGACTAAGCTGGGCATTACCCTGACTAATGTTTCTAGTTGCCCAAGGCAGTGGGCTAGTATGCTAGCACAGATTGTTCAGTGTGGATATCTGACACAAATTATTAGTATTAAAGAGGGGATGAAGATTGTAACTTTTAAAAAGATCAGAGATATTCAATTTTTGGTGATTTAAAAAATATTTTTCTTCTTTTTTCTAAGGATATGGGGGGAATCTTTTATAAAATACTTGAGGCACACAGCAAGTTTTCAAAGGATTTGAAGGCAAATGAATAGCAAAATATTCATTTTATCTTTCAAGACTAGATATGAGAAAAAGAGATTAAATACGACTTTTACTTACCCTTAAGAACCATCTCAAACGTCACCTCTTCCAAGTAGATTTTCTTGACCTGTTCCCAGCACCACCATTGATGTAGGAATTAAATTTTGTCTCAGTTGGGTTCCCTTACCACAATGGCCAGGTTTCTTTTTTTTTAACATCTTTATTGAGATATAATTCACATACCATATAATTCACTGAGTTAAAGAGCACAATTCAATGGTTTTTAGTATATTCACAGATAAGTGCAACCAACACCATGATGAATTTTAGAACATTTTCATCACCTTCCGATCCCTCCATACTCCCAGCCATAAGCAACCATTAATCAACTTCCTATCTCTATGTATTTTCCTATTCTGGACAGTTATATGAATGGAATCATATAATAAGTGGTCTTTTGTGACTTGCTTCTTTCACTTAGCATAATGTTTTCAAATTTCATCCATTTGTAGCATGAATCAGTACTTCATTCCTCTTTATGGCTGAATAACATTTCCTTGTATAGATACACCATATATGGCTTATCCAATCATCCATTAACAGACATTGAATGATTTCCCCCTTTTAGCTATTATGAATAGTGCTGCCATAAACATTTGTGAACAAGTTTTTGTTTGGGCATTTGTTTTCATTTCTTCTGGGTATATACCTGGGCATGGAATTGCTGGGTTTTATGGTAACTCTATGTTTAATCATCTAAGAACTTGCCAGATTGTTTTCCAAAGCAGCTGCACCATTTTACATTCTCACCAGCAGTGTATGAGTATTCAATTTCTCCACATGCTTGCTATCTGACTTTTTGATTCCAGCGATCCTTAATGTTTGTGATGTGGTTTCTCATTGTGGTTTTGATTTGCATTCCCTGATGACTAATGATGTTAAGAAGTCTTCTATGTGCTTATGGCTTATTTGCATATCTTACTTGAAGAAATGTTTATTCAAATTCTTTGTCCATTTTTAAATTAGGTTGTCCTTTTATTATTGAGTTGCAAATGTCCTTTATACATTCTACGAGTCCTTTATTGAATATATAATTTGCAAATATTTTCTTGCATTCTGTGAATTGTCTTTTCATGTTCTTCTCTTTTCTTTTTTTTAAAGTTTGGCACCTGAGCTAACAACTGTTGCCAATCTTCTTGTTTTTTTTTTTTCTGCTTTTTCTCCCCAAATCCCCCCAGTACATAGTTGTATATTTCAGTTGTGGATCCTTTTAGTTGTAGCATGTGGGACGCCACATCAGCATGGCCTGAAGAGTGGTGCCATGTCCGTGCCCAGGATGCGAACCAGTGAAACCCTGGGCCGCCTAAGTGGAGTGCAGAAACTTAATCACTCAGCCATGGGGCTGGCCCCTCTTTTCACATTCTTGATAGTATTCTTTGAAGCACAAAAGTTTTAAATACCGATGAAGCCCAATCCTTTGCAAAATCTGAAGTCATTAAGATTTGCCCCTATGTTTTCTTCTAAGAGTTTTACAGTTTTAGCTCTTACATTTACGTCTTCCATCCATTCTGAGTTAACTTTTCTATATGAAATGAACTTCATTCTTTAGTATGTGGATATCCATTTGTCCTAGCACCGTTTGTTGAAAAGACTATTCTTTCTCATTGAATAGTCTTGCTACCCTTGTTGAATATCAGTTGAACTTAGATGTATAGATTTATTTCTGAGTCTCGATTTTTTCCTATATGTCTATCCTTGTGCCAGTAGCACACTGTCTCCATGACATTACTTTATAGTAAGTTTTGAAATCAGGGTGTGTGAGTCCTCCTGTTTTGTTTTTCTTTTTAAGGATTGTTTTGGCTATTTTGGGTTACTTTCAATTCAGTATGAATTTTAGGATCAGTTTGCCAATTTCTTTAATAAAGTCAACTGAGATTCTGATAGGGATTATGTTGAATCTGTAGATCAGTTTAGGGAGTACTGGTATCTTAACAATATTAAGTCTTCTGATGCGTAAACATAGGATGCTTTCCATTTATTTAGATCTTCTTTAATTTCTTTCAACAATGTTTTGTTGTTTTCAGAGTGTACATTTTGCGCTTCTTTTGTTAAATTTATTCCTGAGTATTTTATTCTTTTTGATTCTATTGTGAATGAAATTGTTTTCTTAATTTCATTTTCATGAAGCCATCTGGGCCTTTGTTTTCTGTATGGGTAGTTTTTTGAATATGAATTTAATCTCTTCATTATTATAGCTTTATTCCATTGTCTGTTTCTTCTTGAATCAGTTTAGGTAGTTTGTGTCTTTCTAGGAATGTGTCATTTCATCTAAGTTATTGATTTGTTAGCATATAATTGTTCAAAGTATTCCTTTTAATCTTTTTATTTTTGCAAGGCCAGTTATAATGTCTCCTCTTTCATTTCCAAATCTTGCAATTTGAGTCTTCTCTCTTTTTTTCTTGGTCAATTTAGCTAAGCATTTGCCAATTTAGACTTATAATTGTTATAGCTTTCTGATGAATTGGACTTTTTCCATTATAAAATGTCCCTCTTTATCTCTAGTAGTGTTTTCTATGTTAAAGTCTATTTTTGTCTAAATTAGGATAGCCACTTCAGCTTTCCTGTGATTATTTGCATAACGTGTAGTTTTCCATCCTTTAACTTTCAATCTATTTGTGTCTTTTGATCTAAAGTGTGTCTTCTGTAGACAGCATGTCATTGGATTGTGTTTTTTTGTTTGCTTGTTTTTAATTCAGTCTGACAATCTCTGCCTTTTGATTGACTTGTTTAACCTACTCACATTTAATGTCATTATAGATACAATTACATGTACAAGTTTCATTTTTGTTTTCTATATGTCTCATTTCTTTTTTCCTTTATTCCTATTTTACTGCTTTCTTTTGCATTGTGTGAATAATTTCCAATGTAGCATGTTAATTCTTTGAATGATTTTTTCACTACATTTTTGGATTATTATTTAGTGGTTGCTCTAATGTTATGACATACATCTTAACTTATCAGAATCAGCTTCAGATTTAAACTAGTTTAATTCCAATGATATAGAGAAATGTTGCTCCTATATAGAGCTATTTCTTTTTCTCCCTTTATGTGGTATTATTTTTATATGTATTATATCTATTAATGCTACAAAACCAGAGTACATTGCTACAATTATTAGGT